AAACAAAACGCACCAGACATGGATGCTGACTATGAAGGAACACTTCAGTAGTAATAGTAAGTAGATAAAGTGATGGCAGCCAGGGTAAAGACCTCAGAATTTTGATTCATGGCTGTGAGTTATATGTTGGTTTGAATTGTTATGATTTTTACTTATTTATTTTAATTAAATTTATTTTTATATTAATTACATTTTATTCACTTTGTATCCCAGCTGTAGCCCACTCCCTCATTCCCTCTCAATCCTACCCTCCCTCATCTCCTCCCATGTCCCTCTCCAAGTCTGCCAATAGGGGAGGTCTACCTCCCCATCCATCCTACCCTAGCATATCAGGTCTCATCAGGACTGGCTGCATTGTCCTCCTCTGTGGCCTGGCAAGGCTGCTCCTCTCTCAGGGAGGGGGGGTGGTCAAAGAGCCAGCCACTGAGTTCATGTCAGAGACAGTCCCATTTCCCCTTACTAGGGAACCAGCTTGGATACTGAGCTACCATGGGCTACTCAAGTGACAACATATGCTGGAGAGGTTGTGGAGAAAGGGGAACCCTCCTCCATTGCTGGTGAGAATATAAACTTGTACAACCACTTGGAAATCAATCTGGCACCTTCTCAGACAATTAGAAATAGTGGTACCTTAAGATCCAGCTATAGCACTCCTAGGCATATATCCAAAAGATGCTCAAGTACGCAACAAGGACATTTGTTCAACTATGTTCGTAGCAGCTTTGTTTGTAATGATTTATTTTTAATAATGGTCAATAAAACAACTTTAAAAAATTGTGTGTTCAATGAACAATGGATGGATTAGGAGATGTTGTTTCTTAGTCATACAGTTGTAGGCCCCTGAGATGTTAGAGTGATTTTGAACTTTAAAAGGGCAGAAATTTGTAGCATAAGCAGCAGCAGTGGCAATAGCCAGGGCTTTCTATAGTTACAGAGCTACAAGTAAGCCACATATCAAAAACTTCAGGCGAAATGTTCAGGAATTCAGAAAAATTTGAGTTTTAGAAGGGTCTGAGCAAAAGTGCTCAGAAAATCTGTATCAGTTATGCCCATGTTTGCAGTATTCCATGTGGATGTTCTTGGAGGGTAACACACCAGACTGGGATGATTAGAACAGATCAAGTAAACACCAAAAATCAGATGGCTTAGGTTTTGTTTTCATATGTGATAATAAAAATGTGTTTTTCTGAGCTTTTCAAGTTTCTGTCTCAGAAGAGAGAATGTTTACTTGTTTATAGTAATAGTGGTTCATGGAAGATGAGAAAAATAGGATGCATACACATATATACACATATAATATATATATAATATATTATATAATCTATATTATATTTGTGTATGCACATGTACACACACACACCCTGGATATACACACACGTATGCTTGAATATACACAAGTGACATAACTCCCACATATATGCGCATGTATGTACACACATAGATACATATATTCCGTGCATGCATGCACATATGTAACAGCACATACATGTACATGCCATACACATATGCATATGTATACATATAACAAGCATGTCTATACACATATACATAATATCTCTATATGTAATTATACATGTACTGACATCTACACAGCTATACAGATAAACATACATACAGATACACAGTAGTCACTCTCCTCATTTCCCATTTTCTTTTCTTTTAAATTTATTTTTAATTAATTACAGTTTATTCAGTTTGTATCCCAGCTGTAGCCTCCTCCCAATCCTACCCTCTCTCCCTCTTCTCCCATGCCCCTCTCCAAATCCACTGACCCTAGTCTATCAGGTCTCATCAGGACTGGCTGCATTGTCTTCCTCTGTGGCCTGGTAAGGCTGCTCCCCTCTCAGGGGGAGGTGATCAAAGAGTAGTCCATTCAGTTCATGTCAGAGGCAGTCCTTGTTCCCATTACTGTGGAACCCACTTGGACACTGACCTGCCATGGGCTACATCTGTGCAGGGTTCCAGGTGTCTCCATGCATGGTCCTTGGTTGGAGCATCAGCTCTTATATTAAACTAGAAACAAAACAGTAAGACAAGACTCTGGGGGCTTGACCAACCAGGAGCTGCCCCACCATGTCTCTATTAGTGACTTTTCTCACTGCAGTGACACGACAGAAGCAGTGTTAGGGAGGAAAGATTTATTTTGGCTTACAGTTACAGAGGCTTCAGTCTCATATCAGGGGATGTAGTGATAAATTGGCCTCTTGGCGCCTTTAAAAAACACCACAGAAATATTATAATATGTTTTCATTTTTATCTCAGGTACAGGGATATGGGGCTGCTTGGCAGCAGTTGATTTGCCTATGATTTGTCTTGCATGCTAGCTGGGGCATGATTCGCCTATGATTTGTCTTGCATGCTAGCTGGGGCATGATTTTCCGGCTGCAGATAGTTTCTGCTATGGTGTGATGTTTGGAATTCCGGGGAGTTCTCAGAGGGTAAATAAATGCTAGTGCCCTGAGAAACTAGGTGAGTTGTTGGTTGGTTGTTGGCTGTGGTTTGTTGAGTAGTTTTGTGCAAAGAAGAAAGAAGTTAGATATCCTATCGCTGAAGATCAGACTTGCCCCAAGGAACTCAATGAGCAGGAAATAGTGGAATGATAATGTGAAATGATGATGGTAATGATAATAGTGGGATGATAGTGGAATGATTTTATTCAAGGATTTCTTTCTTTTCCTCTCTATTTTTTCTCTCTCTTATCTAGTGTTAGGGGGTTAAAAGGGAGGAAGAAAAGGGGTGGAGAAGGGTGGAAGAAAGAAGAACCTACAAAGTAGCCAAAAGCAAGCTACAAGGGAAGGCATGCCAGAGCACAGTAGTTCACATCACGGGCTGTCAGGGAACCAAGAAATGGTCAAGTTAAGATACTGCTGCAGCAGCATGTCTTCAGTGATAGGTCTTCCAATAAGGCCACACCTCCTCTTACCTTTCACTGTTCTACTGATACCATCAAATTAGGAGTTCATTAAGGGACTAATTCCATTCATTAGGTCAGAGCCTTTCAGAATCCTGTCATCTCTGGCCTCTGGAAACTCATCATAGACAGAGTCAGAAGCATGCCCTTTTAGTCTCGTAGGTGTTTCTCAGCTTGGTAATCAAAACTAACCCTCACACAATCTTCCAGAGAGACAGGTTCCAAACTCACAAAACAGAAAGTTCACCATTTTGTTGCTATTGACTAGAATATAAATTCTGTTGTTTTTCTATCACCTCAGTCATGCATTAAAAATATAGTTTAGTTTTATGCTTTTAGAATTATTTTTGTAGGATTTGTAATTAGATATGCATTCCTGGAAATGGCAGTCCCCTCACCTTTTTACAGGTAGCCAAGTTTTTCAGAGGAAGTCTTCTCAACGCCTTAGTTGGGAAGCAGTCAGCTCTCTTGAGCTTTTGTATCTAAGTGCTGTGTTTAAATCCTGTGTACGTGTATGTGGAACTACTGCTCAAGGGTAGAGTATGTGCTTTCAAGACCGGAGGCTCAGTCTCCAGAATGGAACACACATCTTTATAAAGGAGTAAATGCTTATAGTCCTGGTTCTTCAGGGAGGTTAACATGATGCTTTGCCGAGTTATCTTGTATGTTTTCTTCTGTTCTGAAGCCAGTGGCTAGGGTAGAGTTACCAGGTTGCTCTTTGCCACTCCTGCTTTACTGTAAAGATGCCACAATGGAATACTGCAATTGAGCACATGTTTTGTATGGAGGCTAGTGTGGCTCTGGGAGCAGGTTTTGGGAACATATGAGTTTACTTTGAGTATGAGAGCCTGTGCTGAAGGTGCTTGTGTGCATTCACAGCTTTCCTGTGGTTTGTGTGCATCCTGGGTCACCCTTAAATTTACAAATACAAAAAGAATGACTTGCAAAAGTCTCCCCAAATATATTTGGTGACTTTGATGCTGCGTTTTTGCCAATGATTGGCATATTTTCCTTTTCATGTCATCCTCAGACTGGCGGCCATCGTGGTGCAGGAACTGTTCCTCATTGCGTCTTCACGGTGGGAGGGGCATGGCCAACTGCCACAGAACAAGTGCTGCTGTTTCCAGTCCAGCCTGGCAGGAAAGCTTCTCAGTTGACTGCACTTGCCTTGATGTGGAACTTAACTTCATATGTATATAATAGAAATGATCTCCTTTCTCACACTCGCCTCTTTGAAAACTTACCATTTTACCTTGAACAATATGTTTATATATCATGTTTTATATGTACTCTGGCAGCACAAGACTGTTTACAACTACGAAAACTTTTTATTAATGAGAAAAATATCCCTGTAACCAATCTTGGAGTGCTAGGGAATAGCATGCCAATTATAGAGTACCTTTTTATAGCAAATATATTTCAGAAATTAACTTCAGTAGAATAAAATAGCAATCTGTCTAGCAGTAAGATGCAAAATGAAAGGCTAGAGAAGTTCTATAGTTAATCAGTTAAGAGTTTAATTATTATACTATGAGGAAATGTCAGAAAGAAAAAAAAAACAAATTTTGGAGAGAGGATGAGGATTGATGGCTTAGACAGCTGTTTTTCTAAAAAGAAGCCTGAGGTGTAATAATATTGTGGGAATTCCAGAAGTGAGTCTCTGTGCCAGCTGATTCTAATATTTGAGGGACTATGTGGGGGAGGGAGTCTGGGAAGTGATGTGAGCTAAATCTATTCAGGTTGTTACAAGAAATTTTGGAAATTGTGTCAGGAGAATTTTATTAGAAGCTTATCTGTTCTTCAGCCAAGTGTTTAGGGAACATGAAAGCTGTGTTTCTAGGCAGAAAGAAGGAACTTAAAGAAGCTGAAAAAAGGAAGTGGCAGCTGTGCAAAGAGGAGGCATTTCAAGAAAAAATGGAGTTGCACTATTAAGGCAGAGTGTGCTAGAGATTTGAAAGAGAAGTCTGTGGAAGATTAAATCCTAGGAAAAAATCCCTCTAAAAAACTGGTATTCACTTTGCAAAAAGAAACTACCAGCAAACAACAGATTAATAAGAAAACTGAAAGCACATCCTCAAACCATTTCTAGTTAAGTTAGGAGAGAAGAAAGGAGCACAGATGGAGAAAATGACTCCTGTGAGTCTGCAAAAGAGGAAAGGGCAAGAAGGAGAAGACATTCTAGGAGGGGAGATCCTCATGCTTGTTATGGAGAACTTGGTATTTGTTTAGTCTGGCCAGGAAGGAAGACAGAGAACCAAGCATAATAGTAGTATAAATAGTGCCCTCACCTTAGGGCAGGTGTCCCAAGTCAAAAGCAGTTCTTACAAAAATGTAGACTACAAAGATTAAAAATTAAGTTTTATTAACCAATTAGTAGCTTTGTAACAACAGATATTTGCCATGGAACATCATGAAGGCCCAGTAAAAAGTTCTACAAACAACATCAAGATACATAATCATAATGTATATAGAGAGGACCTGGCTCAGATCCATGGAGTCCTATCTGTGGCTTCAGTCTTTGTAAGCCCTGTTTAGTTGATTGTATGGGCCTTGTTCTCCTGGTATCCTCAACCTCACTAGCTCCTACAATCTGTCCTCCACTACTTCTGCAGGGTCCTCCTGACTCTGCCTAGTGTTTGGCTGTGGGTCTCTGCATCTGCTCCCATCAGTTGCTGGATGATGCCTCTGTATTACAACAGGGCTAGGAATTGATTTATGAGTATAGCAGACTATCATTATAAATAATTTAATTTCCTTTTTTTTCCCTGCCAGTCATGTTTGGTTCTATCCTGGAACTTTGGGCTGCCTTGCCTCTGGTTCATGTCTTTCCAGGCAGTGTCAAACATGGGTCTTAAGTTGGGCCCGTTCTTGGTTGGCTCCTAGTTATACCACATTTACCTCAGCACATCTTGCAGGTCGGAAAGAAGTACGCTGAAGGTTTTGTGGCTGGGTTGAAGGTTTTGTGGCTTCCAGTCTCATTGCTGGGAGCCTTGCCTGGTTACAGAGGTGGCCAGTTTGGGCTCAATATCACCCATTACTAGGGGACTTCTCTAGGGTTACCCTCATAGATTCCAGGGAGCTTCCAGTTGCACTAAGTTTTTTATCTCATTCCAAATGCTACCCAGTTCTAGTTATCTCCAGGAGAACACTCCTTCCTCTATTGCTGTTGGGAGTGTAAACTTATACAGTCACTTAGAAATCAATATGGTGATTTCTCAGAAAATTGGGTTAATCTATCTTAATATCCAGCTATACCACTCCTGGGCAAATAATAAAAGAATGCTTCATCATTCCACAAGGACATTTGTTCAACTATATTCATAGCAGCTTCAGTGATAATATCCAGACTGAAAACAACCTGTATGATCCTTAACTTAAGAATGAATGAGGAAATGTGGTATATTTATGCAATGGAGTATTACTCAGCGATTATAAACAAAGACATCGTGAAATTTACAGGAAAATGATGGGACTAGAAAAAAAATCATCCTGAGTGAGGTAACCCAGACCCAGAAAGACAAACATGGCATGTACTCACTTAATAAGATTCTTTCTTTTTAATGTAATTTAAAAAAAGGAATCTTAGTTCTTAGAAATAAATGCCATGAGAAAGCATGAACATGAACAACCAAAATTGCATCAGAGAGAAATATAATACAAAATGAAGCTTAGCTTTGCAGTTAAGAGCTATGACTTAAACGTATTTTAAACAAACAGCCTATGTCTTAAAACTGAGTATTTTGGAGCACAAATGTAATACCTTCACATTTCATCTCTGTGTTGCCTTTTATATTTTCTAAGAATTTATATAAAATATGTTTTCGCTTCTGCTATCAAAGACACATTGAAGCTTAAATGTGAAAAGAAATGACACATTTTCCAGGCAATATGTGCATGTCATTTTATCACATACTGTAAAACTTTCTGTTAACTGGTCTTCATATAATCTGAGAGAGACAATGTAAAAGTGACCACCCATGGTCCATTTTTCACTCAGTTATCAGGATTAATTCAAATTTCTCATCCTTATTAAAAAAAACTATTTTGTACAAAGTAATCATTATAGAGTTGATGAAATGGATCGGCTTCATCTTTGGCTCACACTGGTGACCTTTGTCACTGGTGAGAGGCAAAGGTCAGTTATTCAAAGCTATTATGTGATTGTCTTTCCATATAGTCTTATGATTGATTAGTATTAAAAGAAGGTATAAGAATCTCTGTATTATAAGTGAGTATATACCATGTGTGTATATACCATGTCTTGCTGCTTCTGGGTTACCTCACTCAGGATGATCTTTTCTAGTTCCATCCATTTGCTTGTAAATTTCATGATTTCCTTGTTTTTAATTGCTGAGTACTAGTCCATTGTGTAAAAGTACCATAATTTCTTTATCCATTCTTTGGTTGAGGGACATCTAGGTTGTTTATAGATTCTGGCTATTATGAATAAAAATGTGAATATAGTTGAACAAATATTCTTGTATGGTTGAGCATCTTTTGGATATATGCCCAGGAGTGGTATAGCTGGATCTTGAGGAAGCACTATTCCTAATATTCTGAGAAAGCGCCAGATTGATTTCCAAAGTGGTTGTACAAGTTTACACTCCCACCAGCAATGGAGGAGGGTTCCCCTTTCTCCACAACTTCTCCAGCATGTGTTGTCCCTTGAGGTTTTTATCTTCGCATTCTGATAGTATATACTCACTTGTAAGTGGATATTAGGCATATAATATAGGGTAAACTTCGTAAAATCTGTAATCCTAAAGAAGCTAAAGAGGACCCTAGGGAAGAGGATTAATCCTCATTCAGAAGGGCAAACAGGATAGACATTGGACATAGAAAACAGGGAACAGGACAGTAGCCTTGTACAGGGGGTGTCTGAAAGACTCTACCCTTCAGGGTATTGAAGCAGATTCTGTGACTCATAGCCAAACTTTGGGCAGAATGCAGAGAATCTGATGGAAGAAGGGGGAGCTAGAAAAACCCGGAGGAGACTGGAGTTCCATAAGAAGACTAACAGAGCCAATATATATATATATATATATATATATATATATATATATATATATATATATATATATATATATATGAGCTCTTGGGGTCCTGCAGAGAGTGCTGAATCAAGCAAAGACCTTGCTTGGAGAGGACGTAGACCACCTGATTAGATGTAGCCCATGGAGAGCTTACTCTCCATGTGGGTTGTAAGAGGAGCAGGGGCTCTCTCTGACGTGGAATCAGTGGTCAGCTCTTACTGAACTCTTTTCTTGGGTGTTTTTCCATTAATTTTCTAGTGTTGTGGTTAAACAACAGCAGCAAAAATTACAGCAATGTGTATGGCTTACCCAACAGAGTGAATGATCTCCTTCTGGAGGCTGAACGTCTAAGCTCAAGCTGCCTGCAAGATTTCTTTCTTCCTAGTTTGGGCATTTTTAGTTCTTTGGTCTTGTGTCATTATACAGGACCTTATTCTGGTGACTACTACTCCTCTTTTTTTTTTTTTTTTTTTTTTTTTGTTGGATTAGGGCTTTGCCCTGGAACCTCACACTTTTCTGGAAGCCTTAGCTAAAAATAAACACACTGGGGATTAGAGCTTTAAAAATTTGAGGGTAATGTACTTTAGTCCATAATTCTTTGACAGCTAGAAATTTGATAACCAAATCCGATAAACATATCAAGCAATATCAAGAAATAGTCCACATCATTCTTCTACTTATATTTTCCATTAACCTGATTTAAAGTTACTTTCATTTTCTAATAATACAAACTGTCATTTATTTTTGTAATGACAGTTTGTATTTCTTACAAACTTACATCATTTCTTTTGTAAGACAGCCATCTAAATAAATTCTTATTTATAATATGTTTATAAAAACACTTGCTCACTAAAATAATTAGTAGCAGTTATATTTCAGAGTGCAAAAAGATACTGAAGAAGATTCAACAGTTATACTCATTTGACCATACATATTCTTTTATATGGATATTTGGGTTTATGATATATTATTAATATAAATACATTTTTATTATAAAGATTTATTATCCACTTGAAAATATAACAGAGAACAAATAAAATTAAAAATTTATGCATACTCAAGCTACTTTCTTATCTTAACTGTCTTCAGAAACCTCTTCAGAGAAATTTATCACTTACCAAGACAGAATGGAAGTCAGAAAAAAGGTAGGTTCTGTATACAACAAAAAACGCCCTTAATCAGTATGTGTACTTTTTTTTGATAATATACGTGATAACTTTAATACTGAAGTGTGAAGTTTAGGTTGTAGCGTTCAACTGTGTGTGTTGCATGCGTGCAAATATGTGAACCTATTTCTGTGCACGCTGAGGCCAGAGTGGCATGCTGGAGTCTTCCTCCGTGGCTAGTCACCTTATTACGTTTGAGACAAGCTCTCACATTGAACCAGAACCTCATTTTAGCTAGTCTGGCTGCTCAGTGAGTTCTCCAGATCCACCTGTTTCTGTTCCACAACGCTGGTGTGTGACTTTTTACATGGGTGCTGGGGGTTTGAAATCACGTCCTCTTGCTTATAGAGCAAATTCTCTGAAAAGATATGGTTTCAAATATGTGCTTTTTAATATACTGGGGATACCTTTATTTACTGGTGTTACTGGAGTATCTGGGACTGTGGAGTAACTGGAAACTAATTATGGAATAATCCTACAAAGTAGTAGAGTCCGAAGGAGGAGTTCTGGGTCTGAACACAAATTTCTCAAATTCCTAGCTGAACTGTGCATTTGCAGAACAAACCACAGAGTCTGAAACAACAAGTTGCACAATTCGTTTTTAGTTGGCTTAATTGGTTACATTAAAGGGAGAGGATTGCAGCTGAAGAGGTTGCTCGGTGATCATGATCACGTGCTGCTCCTGAGAGGATGCTGGCCCCATGCCCAACACCCACGTCAGGTGGCTCACCATGATCAGGTTCCGGGAACTCCAGCCCCAGGGCATCTGATGTTTTCTGGCCTCCATGGTTAACAGCCCACACGTGAACAGCTCCTTCAGCTGTACACATATTTAAAAATAAAAATAAACTTTTAAAGAATGATCTGGATGATGGGTAAGTGCATCTTAAGGCAAATTTTATGTATAAGGAAGATGCTCACAAGCACAGAACCTCTTCAGTGTAGAAAGGAAAAGATACTGAAATAAGAAATAAGAGTCTCTATATAAAAGATTTAAAGAAAACTATCAGTTTAACTAATGTAGATGTTAACAAGTCCATATCCAACAGTTGTAGCAGATTATTTGTAAAAAAAAGTGCAGTATGCATTATAAAAATCAAACAGAAAACAGTGAAATTTGAGTTAAATGAAACAGTTAACAAATCCAAAATTAGCTTTTTGAAAAGATAAATGAAATGTATAAGCTTTTATTGCATTTGATTTTTCAAAAAGAAGAGAGAAGACACAAATTAATACATCAGGAATGAAAGAAAGGGCATCATTCTATATCTTGTGGAGATGAAAAGAAAAATAAGGCAATATGTAAAAACACATCATGCTAATTACGTTAAACTAAAAGACAAGAATAAACTTTTGTAGGAAAAAAAATAACATGACAAAATTGACACAAGAAGAAATAGAAAATCTAAACAACCCATGTTTGTTAATTGGGTGCTATTTTAACTTCCCATAAATAAACCTGTTTTAAAATAATAAATTTTAACTGTTACAAGTGAGCTATTTCTGATGTTTTTCTTACAAATAGTCTTCAGCTGGCTAGTTTGACTGGGAAAACTTTTTTTTCCCCTATAAATGTTACTAAACTAAAATTATTCTAGCCCTATTAATGATAAGAAATTGCAGTTCTCAGATATCATCATTTACTGTGACTGCTTTCCCAGAACTGGCCCAGCTAATCTGAATCCTAAACATTTCCTCACATGAACTGACGCCTGCTGGACAGTGGTTCTCACCTATGGGTTGTGACCCTCGTGGGGATAGCATATCAGAGATATGCCCAATAGTTATTTAAAATACGCTTCATAGATGAGATTTCAAAATGTTTAACATCTTAGCAAAAGTCGTTATTTTTTTTTTAAATACGTTAGGCCTGTATGTATATGACTGTGCAAATGCCTGCAGAAACTAGATCAGGGCATCCGATCCTGTGAAGTCGCAGTTAAACGTGGTTGTGAGCCACTTGACATGGATGCCAGGCACCCAGCTTCAGCCTTCTGAAGAGCAGCAATTCTTCTTAACTACGGAACCATCTATCCTCCTTTTTAATTTAAAAAACTCTTATACAATATGTTTTCTTTCCCCCACTTCTCCTAGCCCCTCCTCACCCTTCTTCCCAACCAGTTTATGTTTTTTCTCTCTCTTAAAAATCAAAACAAAACAAACAAATAAATAAATAAAGCAAATAAATAAAAGGCCAGAAAAACAAAAAAAAAATGCCCAAACCAAATAAAAAGCACAGATCAAAAACAAAAACAAACAAACAAGCAAACAAATTGTTTTGTACTGTCCAACTACTCCTTGGCATAAGGCCTGCCCTCTAGTGTGGTTGACACAACCTGAATGACACAGTATTGGAAAAAAACTTATTTTTCCTTTGCTAGAGAGTATCAAGTATGAACCTCCTTGGTTAGGGGTGGGTCCTCATGTCTATTTCCCCAACTCAGTGCTGGGACCAAGTGGGACCCTCTGTCCATACCTATGCTGGGACCGTTCTGCCTTGAATCTGTGTGGCTGTGTGTGCTAACATCATCCCTCTGAATTTATGCCCTGTTGTGTCTGGCGGACATCCATGACCTCTGGCTCCCTCCTCTTCTGCAGCTCCCTGAGCTTTGAGGGGTGTGGTATGATGAAGACATCTTTAAATTATTATGTTTGAAAACTTTTAAGCTCTATGTAGGTTTCAGAAGACTCTTGGAAAATTTTAAGATTAGGATATATTTAAGAAAGCCCAAGCTATTATTAAGGAAAAAGAAGAAACATTTTGAAGAAAACCAATTTGCTTTAGCTCAGTCAGAATTGCTTAACTAATATTTTGGGGCTTTATTTTATTTTTTGAACTGAAATAAGTAATGTTAAATTTCTGAAGCAGGAAGAATTATACTCAAACAACTAACATTTTTATTTTGTTTAGAAAATAAAGTGTGTGCATTTTCATATATATGTATACATGCATCTATGATTTTCTTAACAAATATAAAGTTTTATGTTTAGTACTACACTGAAGTGAAATCTCCTTTCTGAGGACACTATTTGAAATTTCTTAATTTCTCTAAGCATAATCCATTTCTCACTTATAATTGAAAGGTATCACAGTGAGTTCTCCAGCACTATGTCCACCGTCAAAGGGCTCAGCTGGAGTTGGTTCTCCAGCTTTGCTGCCTGTAACATGCATTTCTCTTGGGTTTGTTCCACTCCCTGCCTGCAGTTCTCCTTGATGTCTCCTGGCTCTGCCATTTTAACAGCTTGTGCTCTGTAGCACAACCCAGGCCTCCCTTCCACAGCTTCACTCAAGGTCCTCTCAGCACCTCTCACAGCCTTCACCGAGAGACTGCCCTGCACATAGAAGGGAGACCCTGAAAATGACACCCCAATCTGTATCTTTCTATGCTCTGAAGCATCAAATGAATGACACGGCCAGGATGAAAGGATGAGTACCAGCTTGGCACGCACCCCTGAGCCGTTTTACCATCAGGTTTTGATTGCAGTTTTCTTCCACGAGCAGAAAATTCCTATGCTCTCTTTCCAAAGTTGGAAGCTCAGGGGGCTAAGATCCTGCCCTAAAAACACACTTGATTCCAGTGTGGATCAGTCATCTCCTTACTGGAACTAATTGCCTTAACAACTGTAGCCTTTCTTTTAGCACAAGCCTTGGTTGTACCGTTAAGCTTCTGGTGTCCTTTTTTTCCTCTGTCCATTTTGCATTTCTTTCTGTACTACTGTAGACCTACATAACAATGCTTGTTAATAATCACACAACAGAGCCACTATTAGTCTGTCCTGAAAACTCCACCAAAGAACTTAGTCTGTTGATTTGAATTGTAGCCTCAGGCACCTTCTTAGGACTTGGGCAGAAAGAATCACTAGATCTCACCACTAAAAGTTCCCATCACCTTCTCATAGCATACAGCTGGAGATGGGCCTTTCCTGCTTAGGCCTTAGGGGAGATTCGTTATAAACTACAGTAAAAGCAGAGAACCTGCCTAAAATATACTTGAAATCTCCAGGGACTCCAAGCTCACTGCTCTTATTTCCAGGCAGTTCTCAATATTAAACTGGGTGCTTGTGTCTCCTGGACACAGTTCTCGTTTTCCGCCTATACTTTCTCTTGCTCTTCTATCTCTTGTATGTATGAATTGTACAAACTAGTGGTCTTCATTGTGACATTGTACTTCTTGATACAGCGTGTTAACAATTTTCTCTTGTCATCCCTCAGCCTATCTCACATAATTACACATGTAAAACAGTCTGTAACATTTTTTTAATAGGATGGTAGTTCACACCATATTTTAAAAAAATGAGGAATACCTTGCCCAACTGGAAATTATAAAGTTTTGAGTACTGTGGACATGTGCTCTGTCTCTGCTCAGTGGTGACTCATGCGATTCGAGTACTGACTTCAGGATGCTTTCTTCTACACATTTCAACCCTTGCAATTGTTTCTGCTTGCTTTTACCTCTTTCTACAGTTCTTGTGCCCTCCACATGGCCAGAAAAGCAACCGCTTCCCAAGAGCTTTAATTCAGTTCCTACTCTCACACAAAATCTGGTTGTTTCTAAGAAAATGAGACAAAATAAAAATAACTGTCCCACAGAAGAAATCCCCCTTAAACAACAAAAATAAAACAGTAAACAATGTTGTGGATGACTTCAGGGTTCATTAGACATGATCGTCCCTAGAGACATCATGCAGGACTCCACATGGCTGTAGCTGGAGAAGCTCAGACCCCCACAGAAAAGGGAAGTGGAGCAGATGTCCACTGCAGTTAACAACTCGGAAAGTGATGCTTTAGAAACAGCACTGTGTTTCAGATATAACCTCATTAGCCATAACACTAGAGTGAGGTGTAGTCTTACACTTTAGAGACCTGTGCATGAAGCTGATCTCGTGTTAACTTTAGGAACCAACTTCTGAGGGAAGTAGCTCATAGTGAAAAGAATTCTTATAAGAAAAAGAAAAAAAAAAGCTTAATTATTTTTCTA